ATATGTGGACTTCAACTCCTAGAATTCTCCAGCCAGCATTTTTATATATATATATAAATATATACATACATACATATATACACGCATATATACCCCCACTTTAGAAATACAAGAAATATTTCCAACCAGAGTTAAGTAAGGCTTAAAGTTATACTAGCCAGCATTCCTCAATAAATCAGACTGGTAACTCATCCCTGCTGACTTTGCTGTTATCTTCCATAATTTCGAGTCCACTGCATTGAGTATATTGTCCCCCAGTACCTCCTCCTCTTCAGCATGCTTCATCAGGTAGTGCACAAACAATTCTTCTCTTCAGTCTTCCCACTTGCTTATGAATTAATCTAACTCAGGTTTTCATGAGTGAAAGCTATGTTAGGTTCTACTAAAAGCAACAGCCCAACTTCAACAGCCAATTGCTATCTACCACCCTTCAGCTATGTTATCAAAGATCTCTAGAAGATCAAGGAGGGCCAGGATGGATGCACCATTCCCAGTCCTGTTGCACAAAAGTTCATCTACAAGCATGATCAACGCTGTCTCAGTGCTATATCCTGGTCTGAAACCCAACTGAAAAGGATCCAGATAATCAGTTTCCTCCAAGGCCCTCTGGAGCTGTAGATCAATCACTTTCCCAACAACCTTTGTCTAAAATCATTGGATCAGGATGGTTTCTTGAGGGAGGGACAATCATCTGTTTAAGAACTGGTAGAAGTACTGTTACCCTTAAGGATCACTGCTTGGATCCAACCACATGTCATCTCCTGGGAAGCCTTGACCAACAATGAGAGACATGGATCTGATACACAATGGCCACAATTGTAGCCCCAAGAACCATCTCCACTTCATCAGGACCAATAGGCTCAAAGTCTTTCCAGATAACCATGCTAGACCACACCTTGGTTAATTCCAAGGACTTGCACAACCAAAGTTGAACTTGAGTGATTTTATAGAAAGATGCTTCTAAAAACTCACAGCAGCCCTGCAGATCATTCTCAGTCCCATCCCTAACCAGGAGAGTTAAAGTAATCTTGAACAGGGCTGCTGGCCAGCTCTCTGCAGAGGAGATTAAGAGCAGAAAAATAGTTATGTTTTGCCAATCTTATTGGTCCAAGTTATCCTTTAATAACTTTTCTGTAACAGCACTGCTGGCTGCCAGCCAAAAAGAGAGAAGACTGGATGCTTGCCACAGTCTATGGAATATGCCAGCTCAGACAAAAGTTTTAGAAGAAAATATCTAAAGATGGCAACTGTAAATGTGGTCAAAGACTTGGCACAGCTCAAGACCAGGAATCCAATAAACAAGCAACAAATCCAAGGGACGAGACAAGAGACCCAGTGAAGTGGAATTCAGAGTTTACAGCGGTAACAAAGCTGAAAAGTTGTGCTCAGCATTTTGTTTCAGGGAGGAAAGTCAGTAAATAAGCCAAGCTGAGCCACCACCCAATGTGCAGCTGAGGAACATTACTTGTTAGCGTCTACTATCCTGCTGGCCTGTTTTTTGGAACTCAGCCTTCTGCTCTTGTATCTTTAAAGCAGGCCTCTGCTTGAAGCTGGATGGGTGAACTTCAGAGTCTGAGAGGCTTTCAGTAGGTGCAGGGAAGGAGTCCTGAGGACTTACTGGCTTCAACACTCCCTCTAGACTATTATCCCTAGGTGTCCCTGGCTATGCTTCCTCCTCCTCCTCCACAGCAGCAGCAGTCTAGACATCTCTTTTGCCACTTCATCCCCTGGAATTCCTCTGAGAACCAGAGAGATTTCTGGGATCTAAGACCAGAGAAAATCTGCAGAAGCATAATCCAATCCAAGACCATTGCTACCTTCTTATTCCAGGCAGTGACCAGGTCCTCAGTCGATTCCTGGTCAGAGCCTCGGGAATGACCCCAATTTCCATCAGAAATTCAGTAGTGTTTCTCAGGCATTTGGGATAGAATGACTGAATAGAACCTTCCTCCCTACATCAGGGATCACCTGCAGAGAACTCTTAAGACCAGCAGAGTGCTCTGAGCAGGACAAGGGACTGATAGGAACATCCCCCAACTCCAAATCATGTGACCACTACCCCAAAAGAAAAACCATGTCTAATATACAGACACTGTTACAAGTTGGATCCTCAGTAATCTGGGTCAGTAACCTGGGTAACTATGAACTCCCAAGCTGCCTCTGATCCCATTCCCATTAGAGTCCCCCAATACCATAAATCTGAGGAACTCCACTGCCAACGTGGTCATAGCATCAAGATAGGCTGATACAGTAGCAGCAATCCCATCTGATTTCTGAAACCAGATCCTTGGAACCTGATCAGCAAGGTCTCACATCTGGTTATCTGTGGGGCAGTGCCTGTGAAAACCACCAGGGTTTCTTGGATCACTATAGCCACTCCACTGCCCCTCAGTAATTACAACTTTAAATATATTTTTGAATTTCGGATATAGCATCAAATCATAGTTGGTTTGAATTCAGAAACAGACTCCATCAAAAATGATAGTATCTCAGGCTTTCTTGAGATGGCTAAGGCATCTGGTCCATATTGAGAAATCAAAATATGCTTTGTTATATTGCCACTGATAAACATTAGGCAAAGAGAATTCTCTCTATAGTTGTTGAAAATCCATAAAATAATCATTACAAAGTAATTGATTTAAAGTAACTAAAGTACTAAAGTAACTATCCAGACTCTGCCTATCTGTTATCCCTAACTTACTTGCCAAACATAGTTTCTGAATATTAACTGCTTAGCAAGAAGAACCCAGCTAATTATTTCTTATGATGAAAGACCATTTGCTCACCGGTGTCCTATTCTATTCTATTCTATTCTATTCTATTCTATTCTATTCTATTCTATTCTATTCTGAACAAAGGCCTTCTTCTGGAGGGAGTAATTCCATTCCATTCCTTGACACATAGTATCCGGAGTTGTTGTTGTTGTTGTTGTTGTTGTTATTATTATTATTATTATTATTTACATTACTTTACAAAATTTTGTAACAACCATAACAAAATTATAAAGACTCTTCATTCCCTTTAAATAATTTGAGTTCTTTAGAATTTTATTTTTTAATATATTTTTCATTTAATATATTGGTGAGATATGAAGTTACTTAAGTCTTGAATTATTTCATTCTTAACCCAGTAGTCACAGTTCTCATACTTTCCTCACTATATTTAGCCATCCTTCCTCCTGGATGCTTTTCTTGAACATATTTAATCATGACCAGAATAATAGGCAGTAGGGGTATACACTGTATTTGGTTGAAGTCTATTCTACGTGGCAGAGCAGAATAACCTGGGATAGAATTTCATTTACTTGTGATCAAGTGAGTGAATGGAACCCACTGTATTTTTATTCCACACCTCCACAAAACTCCTGTGCCAGTCTGATTTTCTAGAACTGAGCTATTCTGCAAATGGCTGTGCCATGACAGCTGCCCCAACAAGGAAAAAGGAATGATTGTGTCATGTGAAGGGCTAAGGGTTTATGTGTGGAGGAGAGAACAACTGGATTAGTGAATGATAGTCTATCGTCAAATCTGAGTAGCCCTGTGATTAGATCACCACTGGTTGTCCAATCACAGTGTCTTAAGGACGGAAAGACCCTTAGAGTTAAGAAGGATATTTAACACTGACTCTACATCATTGTGACACAGTATCGCATTATAAGAAGTTGTGTTATTGAGTTTTATGGACAGTATTAGTCTGCTATAGAAGGTAGTGACTGACTGCATAACTGTTATAGATGAGACAGCCTTGGAATAGTGAGGAGCAACAAATGGTTAATCTGCAGATTTCACAAGGTCACTGTCTGCTCACAGTGTTGTGAAGTTCCAGCTCTGAAGTCATTACTCTCCAAGAAAAATAATTTGGACTCTGTTATTCTAGAGGTAAAGGTAAAGGGGAAATTGTGGCAGAATTGTATCCATTAAAGCATGTACATGAACATGAAACTGAGCAAACTCAGGGAGGCAGTGAAGGACAGGAAGGCCTGGCGCAATATGGTTCATGGGGTTATGAAGAGTCGGACACGACTTAACGACTAAACAACAACAAAAGCACGTACAAGATTGCTTCATAAGGCTTCTTTTATGTGAAAACTTTATAAAACTTATTGGTATCCTCGTCCTTTTACAAGAATGATTTCCTTCTCTTGTAGAATTCTATACTGAAAACATGAACAGTTTTTTTTTCTTTTTTGACCAAGATCAAAATGCAACAATAGTCAAAAAACAAAGTGGGTATGTAACACTGTTGTTCCTAATATTTCCATTGGTATTTGAATTATTTAAATCAGATTCTCCCAACTGATTTTGTTTAAACTCTTCAGCCATTCTGTAATGATTTTGCTAATACTAATGAGATATTTAGAACCAGTTTGGTGTAGTGGTTAAGGCATCAGGCTAGAAACTGGGAGATTGTGAGCTCTAGTCCTGCCTCAGGCACGAAGCCAGCTGGGTGACCTTGGGCCAGTCACTCTCTCTCAGCCCCAGGAAGGAGGCAGTGGCAAACCACTTCCAAAATCTTGCCAAGAAAACTGCAGGGGCTAGTCCAGGCAGTTGCCTGGAGTCAACACTGACTTGAAGGCACAAAACAGATCAAAAGAGAGATTGAGAGATTAGAATGCTTGCTGGAAATGATCTTTTACTTGATTGCCTTACCAACTGCCTAGTCATGATCTTGATTATGAAAAATCATATAGAGTGTGGTAGTGCCCAAAAGGAGTAATCAGGTTTTTGGAGGGAGGGGTATGATATAAAAAACAGAACCCCCTTCTCTGATTGAATGAAGCATTATTCCCAGTAGGCAGGTACAGATGGGTGATGTGAGAAGAATTTCTTCCCAGAGGCACCATGTGGTAGGATGAGGCCACACATCTTGACTTTCCAAAAAAGAAATAAACTAAGATGATCTTATTCAGAAACATATTTTAATAACACATTTTAACAAATAATATCTTGTAATAAGTTACATTAAATTAAAATTCAATTTTGAAATGTCTCCTTTATGAAAACACCATTATCAGTGTTTCTATGGCTCACAAACACAGGATAGACCAGATAATGACCATAACCTACAACACCAGCTAGTTCTTGAGGCATAGGATGAAGGGATTCCACAATTCTTGCCTCATTTCTCTTCTTTCTGTCATATCACTGGCAACCCAACCAGCTGTTGCTCTTCTTTAGGCCCAGAAATCTTTTGGTTTCAGACTCAAATTCATACTGCTTTGAGCCACTGAATAAATAGATATGTCCTAAAGGAGTAACAAGATTGTGAATTAAACAGGTGCATTAATTCCCAGCAACTTTTATGATACTTTCATCTTTCTTGTTTCCTTTTCAGTTTTAATGGAATCTTACCAGCATCCCTAAAACATGTAGGATATAATAATTAAAATGAGGAACTGGCCTTCTCACACTGATGCACTATTCTAGTGTATTCTTTTTTTCAGAATGAGGGCTGTACTTGGAAGCGCGTGTGCTCTCCCCAAAGTAGGTTGGGCCTGGACACATAAATTCATGGGGCCAAGATAAACATTCAATTTGATTTTGTTTCACTTAGAAGTCAACTGTAATTAAAATTAAATTGAAAGTAGTTTACATGATTACATTTAATAATTTCCCCCTTCTATCACATTAAAATTACACCTCAGTAGCAACTTTTGTTCTTGGAGCTATGCCCAAAGTTTATGGTGAGTAAATGGAACTGGCAGTGCTAGTTATAATGGTTGCCTAAGGACATTTAAATATGCACAGAGGTGAATCAATAGGAGGCATTCAACACTGGAATGGTTCTTAAAAAATTCAGTTGATAGATTTTCAGTAATTTTGTACGTTTTGGAAACCATGAGATTTAGTAAGTCACAGAGTTTTTGTGTAGTTTGGAATATGCTAGCTGCTGAAGATAGTTTTTCACTCTCTGTGTATAAAGGGTGTAACTCTGCAGTTTGGAAGCTCTTCTGTTGGGGAGATTCAGTGATCAAAGAGAATGATGGTGGAGAAGGAGCTTACGTAAGATGTGGAAATTACAGATTTTGAAATCTACTGGAGAGGCTTCTCCTTGAGATGAAGAAACATTGAGACCACTTATGAGAACAGAAGTTGCCTGTAAACCTAGGGCAATTTCCACAGACCTTCACATTGTATCAGACATATAGCGTCTTCCCATTTCATAACTGACAGCTACAGGATGCTTAATCTTTTTTCAAGATCTACCCTTCTTGAAATTCGGCATGGTCACCTTTAATTCCATAATTCCCAGAGTTCCAGGAAAGTATGTTTGAGATTAGGAGTGGGCAACCCAACATTTCATTTATTTGCATTACACCATTTTAAAATCCCATATAAACTCTCCCACAGAGTTCTGACTCTGCTTAGTTTTTTCAAGATCAGTCAGTATTAGAAAGGTGCTGCCATCTGCTGTGGCAAACGAGAACCCAAACCCATCTTAAATTTGGTTGATTTTTTTTTCAGGGATGTTAAGTTGTAAAAAGGCAGGAGGCACCCATTTTGGCCCTTAAAACTGACTAGCCCCCATATGGGGAGAAAGGGTGAGAACATTAGTTCACAGACATGTAGTGGCATCTTGAGATCCCTGGCTATGCTCTGCTAAATAGTAATTCTGAGGTAGCCAGGTTAATGTGCCATAATGCCAGGGACTGAGAACTCAGGGCTAGCAGGAAGCCAGAAGCCCTCCAGCCTCTAGTTTGCTGCCTTCAGAGCCACCCAAGATAGCACTATTGAAATGCTTTGATGTGACAATGTTTGACTTTGAAGGAGGTGACCATGGAGTAATATAGCCTTAACTTCCTCCAAAGTCCCCATGAAATCAAAAACAAATACCCCAAACCCTTCTGGGGACATCACTTTGTCATAAAGAAATTTAAAAAGTGATTCTTGTCTATCATTTTGAATGGACAACTGATTATTGATTATGTCAGTACAAGTGATCTTACCATTATCTATAAAAGCAGCATCCACCTTGGAGCCAATGTTATGGAAGTCAGCTGTTATCTTCCTTGGATACCCTTGCTCCATGGAGTTCTTCTTGTCATCATACCTAAAGAAATGAATGATTTAGACATTCAAATGGCTTCAAGAATTCATATAGTCTTCTCTATTGGTATGCTTGTTAGCTCTGTACTACTTCTAGAATCAAAGGTTGCATGGCATTTGGTTGAGGGGTCAAGTCTACTTTCAGCTATGGAAATTCACTAAGTGACTTTGAACTACTATGTTTCTCATCCTGACCTATCCCACAGAATAGTTTTGTAGAAAAAATGGAGAAGGAGAGTGTTATTTATGCTGCCTTAAGCTTCTGGAGGAAAGGAAGGATACATATCTAATGATTGTAAAAACAATGACCTAAATATTCACTTCCATGAGGCTTTTGGGATGCATCTGGACATTTGCCATATGACACAGATGGTCAGTATAGACCAGATTGGTCTTCAGCCTACTCAAGGGCTCTTACATTTCAGTGTGTCCAGTGAGGTGAACTTCCTCTCTCCCTCTCTCCCTTTCCCTAGTCTAGATATGTATAAGAGTATAGTGTAAGGCCAAAAGCAAAAATTTAAGCTGAAAGCAATTTAACCTTTTGTCTAAAGAGGTGAATCATAGCATGTTCCACTTTGCTAGAAGAGATCCTGGGAGGGTAAAATCCCAGTGGTGGAGAATAATTAAAATTATATCCAATCCCCATAAAACAATCAAGACAAATGTAGTCCATTCTGTGTATTTTAGTTGCAAAGGGTTAAAAGAGATCATACATGTAACATAGACATTTTTCCCTTACCTCCAATAATTGTCGCCTGAAATGAAGTATATTTTCTTTGAACTTCTGTCATAAGCTGCTGCATCAACTTTTTTAACTGTATGTGGGAAGCCCAGATTCTGGATGCTCTTTGGGAAACCGTGCTCTATAATATTTCCCCTGGTAGACCAATACTTATGTCCTGTTAAACAAAATATAACAAAACATACACTTCTGTCAGAATGAACAAAAATATGGTTAGGGGGATGGGGACCTCCATATTCCAAATTCAGAGAGTGAGTTATATAGGCATCCATGAAGTTTTGCAAAGGAAGACATTCCTTCGACTAGTAGAAATAAGAATGTGGAAATATCATTACATTTATTGATCAATTGATCAATGCAATCCCTTACTTTTTGAGATGGAAACAGTAAAAACCAAAACAGAAATCCCATCCTAGTCCACATTGGTGATGTCACAGCATTACTGCACTAAAGTTATTTATCCTTGATCACTGACTGGAAAAAATAATCCATGGGGGCAATACTGAGCCCATCTTTAGCTCATTTTCTACTATACAATGTATCTCACATGTTCCCCCCTGAAATTGCTTTTGATATGTATCTTAGTGTCTTATCATTAAAGCAGTCAAGAAATGTACTTCTTTGTACAAACTTCCTGAGTGAAGACACTGCTTTCAGGGGGAAGGTCTCAGTTCAATGCTCAGGAACTCCAGGTACAGCTGGAAAACCTTCTGCCAGAAACCCTTGAAGAGCTACAGTTTACAGAGACCAATGGTGTGATTCAATGTATGGTTGCTTCCTTTGCACCTATGCTTCCCATGTAGCTATGCTTTCAAGGAAAACAGTTAGATTCTGCCTATGGCCACTTGCACAGCCATCTTATTAATTATCCTCTCCTCCTTCAGCTGCTTTAAATTTGGAATATTCATTTTGTTCACATTTAAAAGAAGAATCCATGGGAATTATTTACCCTTGAAAAGGAAGACGATGTCCTTGTCTTTGTTTTCATATGCAGCATCTACACCGCCGCTCAAAGATGGCCAGAAAGCAGAAATAGGATCTTTCTCAATCTCGTTTCTGCGGGGATTCTTTCGCCAGAAGTAACTACATTGATAGAGGAGAAACAACTTGAGAAGGAGCATAGCTCAAGGGGAGAACCCTGCATTGACATTTGCAGGGAAAGCAACAGGGGTTAGGGTAGGGATAGAATAATCGGATGCATGGCGATATGATAATGTAAGTCTTTATGAAGTAAGTTCATAATTATGGCTTTTGTGTGATGACATCATGCATGTGTTGTCATTTGACATCTTATGGTTTGATGCCATTGGACCCATGAGTGTAATATAAAAGGTTCTTGGCTTAATCCCTGGCATCTGGGGTAGAAAGATGGCTTCAGAGTATTGCACTCCATTTACCTGTCTTTAAAGAACATGGTTTCCCCTCTGAGAGAAGTAACAGCATCAAAAGCTTGGTTGGGGTGGCAAGGCTCTGTTGATGGCACTTCTGTTGGGGCATCTGTAGGGTTTACTGATGTGTTGTCATAATCATCATAATCATCAGGGGCTCCTTGAAAAAGAGGGAATGAGAAGAAATAAAAGGCAAGTGGGATTTAGAAACATTTTCAAGGAAGTTTCTGCCAGTTGACATGAAGTGGGATGTAGACATCATGTTATATCTTTTCAATCTCTTTCAAGTGTTTAATACATATTTGGCCTAGATGGCAGGTGGTGTGGGATGCTTCTATTTAGATTTTAATAATACAATATTCTCACATGTTTATCATAAATTAGAAAAAGAATCTGGAAAATGGGATTTCTAAGTTACATCTCAAGGGAAAAGGAGAGCTTTCATATCTTTCAGAAGGTGGTTGCTCCCTAAGTGGCCATGCCATACAGTGTTCCACATTTTTATCAGGATGGTTCCTCAGAATGTAGCATGAGCTGCATGTCAAAAATTGTGTGAATTTTTTTCATAGCCTTTCAAACTCACTCTGAATGCAGTGTTTCACCCCCCCCCCCCCCTGGAATATTAGCCAGTGTCTTCAGCTGGGTATCTGTACTTACCATAAAGGCTCTGGATGCCTTCAATGTCATCAGTGTGAAGTCTTAGGGCTCTGGGATCCATTGGTTGGTAGATGGGAAACATCAGAGCCCCCAGATTGCTGGAATGTTGAAGCCCTAATGAGTGGCCAAACTCATGAGCAGCCACAAGAAAAAGGTTTGTTCCTAGAAAGGAAAAGGAAAAGGAGGACCTCTTGTGAAATTGATATTTACCATAACAAACAATCATTCATTATTAAGAAGGCTTGAAGAATTCCATATATGTACATTCCAATAAATAAACAGGCTCAGAATCCTTGATCTGCATCACGGGTAGCTCACCACCCATCAGATCATATATTTCCCATAAAATAGTAAATGTGTGTGTGTGTGGGGGGGGGGGTTGGCTCCACAGAAGCTTAGGAAAAAAAAAAGTTTGAAAAGATACATCTTGAAACACAAATATATATGAAAAAGAAAATAAATACATTGCTGTGGTTGATTTATGCATTTTAGACTGCAGATTAATGAAGAAACAGAACAGGTAGGCGAATGAACAAACCTGACACTGACTGAAGTAGCCTGATTTGTTCATCTTTGCATATTGGGTTAATATGCAAAAAGGATCTTTCAGAAATGGCCAAAAGCCTGCAAATCTCAAACTTCCATTGTTCTCTTTTATTCTTATCCTTCTTATTGATTCCGACAAAGAATGAGGAGGCCAGAATCAGGAGAATGGGAATAGGCAACTCCTGCTACATTCCTTTTAAGGAAGATGCTTTTTAGCGTCTATTTGCAAATTTAGGAAACAGATTGCACTGGGACTCCCTGCTGCCAGAAATACATTATGTTGGACCAACAGCATCATGCCCCACTTATTGGGCGACATCCAGAGAAACTCCAACAGTGCAGTTGTCAGCCCAAACTACTATTGCAGATTTTCATGCAAATAGTTAGATTTGGTTGTTGGTTTTCCAGTCCTTTCAGCTTCCTAGAAACTGCTATCCCATTAGATGATGATGGAGATTACATCTTGTTTTGGACAAAAGCATGGGCACGTATCTAATAACAGCAGTGTGTAAAATACAATTCTACCGTATTTTTCATAGGAAATACTGGACTCTGTTGGAATTTTAACTTTGATTTCAAAAGTGGCCTTTATCATTTTAATTTTTTGTCTTAGTGGTTCATTTTGAATGATGCTCTACTTGTCTATTTTGCTTTTTTTGTTTTTAAAAGACACTGTTGGAAAATAGCTGCACAAGGAAGTCTATATGGTATTATACCCGTTGGTGAACTACTAGGTTTAATTGCTGGGCACTTTTCCAATGGGTGTGTTCAAGTGCATCTGTTTTAAATTGGATTCCTGAGCAGAGCAGGAGGTTGGACTTGGTGGGCTCCATGGGCCCTTTCCAACTCAAGGATCTGAGGACCTTAAAAAGGGCCATTACTCTGACTCTGACTTTTGATTTTCTTCAGTGAGTTACAAAAAATGGGGAGGGGATTGCCATGCTACAATATAATGCTAGTGAGTGCTATTCAACTTGATGGATCATTGCTTTGTCCGGTATGATGAATAATGATTATTTTATTGGATTGAAGACTAGGAAACTTGCAGTGTTTTGTATAGCTACTGTATATGCAAACAACGTACAAGCTGAAGAAATTAACTTCAGAGCTGCTTTCAGATTAGGCACAGATTCAGGATAAATCCATTATTTGTCTGTCTGTCTGTCTCTCATCTATCATCTCTATCTGTCTATCTTCTATCTTCTATCATCTGTCAATCTGTCATATCTATCTATCTATCATCTATCTATATATCTGTCTGTCTGTCTGTCTATCATCTATCTCTGTCAACACACATATAGACACATCTTGTGTTTCAATTTTTCAAACACATGCAAACATTTAAAAGTTTAAAGGGGAAAATACCTTTCAAATCCTTTGCCCAGAATTCATCCTCATCAAAATGAGCATTTCCACCAAAAGCAGGTGAAAAGGCATGGGCCAAATTTCCACCTTCTCCATCAAAAGGAAAACCATCTCCATGTGCTGAGAAAATAAAACAAAGATATATTTTAAGCCTCTGAGTCTGAAATTCAGGCTACTTTACCCACTGTATGGATATTTACTTACCTCCAGTAACAAAAGAGATTTCAATATCGGCAGGTTTCCCATAAACCCTGGTGAAGGTCAAGGGGGTCACATCACTCCACACTTTCCAAGCTTTCTCAATCGCATAGTCTACATGTCTGGGTTCCATGTCAGGTGTATAGTTGAGAATACTGTGAAATGTAATAAGTGAATGAAAGGAAGGTTTGATACAAAACATGAGGAGACAACTTTTAAACATATATTAGACAGACTCACAAATGTTGCTTTGAAATAGATTTTGGTGGGGCATAGTACACATAGAGAATGTGCCCTCAAATATATTCAATAATCTCTGGTTTTGCATTACAGAGGAAGATCAAAAATGGTAAACTAGACATCCTGCAGAAGAAACCATTATCAATATGGCCAAGAAATCCTGAAGATCTTATGATCGTGGTGTGAAGAGGCTTGCAGGTAAGGCTTCAAGCAGTAGGATGAAGTAGGAAGTGCCCCTGCTCGGGGTTGTAGCGTGCCACTTATGGGCCTTCCAAGGTATTCCATTTTATTTCTCCTCCTCTGCTTTTATTTTTTTTTTTCATCAGTAATTTTACCTGATTCTCACTCGTTCCTGAACTTGGCAAACAGACCGGCAAATTCCACAAGACTCACTTGTACCTGTGCAGCCACATCTAACTCATGGTATTCAGGGTTGCTGCTGTTGTATGCCTTTCTACCTCACTTCATTTCAATTATTTCTAGGCCAGCTCGTGCCAAGATAGTTAGACCCAGGACAATATTTGCATTCATAGCCCAGTCTTCAGTTTGATAATGTAGACTTCGTTTCATTTTTGATACCTAAATATCTTATAATGCCCCCCCCCCCAAGGATCTGTACTTCTTTTATCCCCAGTTTATCCTGGTCTGGAAATAACTGCAGGTTGTTTGTGCCACCTCAGTATCAGCTCTAGACATGTACAATACCCAGAAAATAAAAACTGTAGAATTAGGTACTAAATAGACATTAGTAACAAAATGTGTAGTAATGGATGCACCAACACACTTCTGATTTTATTGGAAAATGCACCTGGGATTGATCTGGGATCTGTTTATTACTTCTTTTTGGTAGGGGAATGTATGCTTCCCCCCTCCCCCAGCAACTGCCTCCTGGAAGAGGGAGGGGTGTTAGCAAATTATTTTCTTCCCCTTTAATGTGGAGGGGGGCAGGCAGGAAATGATTTGTGTTGCTCCAAGATAATCTTTACTCACATTTCCTTACAGACAACAATTAACATCATATTTCTATAAGTATTATTTAGAACAGATCCCCCCATTCCAGTCACTGCAACTTCATGCCACCATAGTTACAATTATTAGGAAAAATGCCTGGTTACAAATTTGCTGGCATGATATCCTTTAGCGTTCACCAGCAGTATGGTTTTGAATGATAGTGTAATGATGGCTTGGTGATTCACCACTACCCTTTTATACCTGTTTCTCAAATGTGTTTGCTAATGGGTAAACAAATGTGTACAAAATATGTTCTGGGAATCTGTGTTGGGATTTGCAATTTATGTTATTGTCTTTTTTGCAAGGAGTAGAGTAGTGGAGTTTTCATTGCTCCAGAAACTAGCAATAGCATATGGAAGGACACTGATTGTCTCGTGATATTCTGTAGGCTTTAAAGCTCACCCAGATGCCTTCAAAACAATTTGGAGGGATTGGGGAGTGGCAGTGATATCCTGTGGAAGTGTTCCACATCTCCTGACTTCTCATAATGTATCCACAATAACAACAACAAAAAGGAAAGGAAAATTAAGTTTCCTGATTCTGCCATTGGGCGTCTAGTAGCGAAGACAAACAATGGTGGGATTTTATGCCATCTACATTTGCTTTCAATATTGGACTCATTCACCAATACCTTGCACCCTATCTGCATCCTGCAATAGGATTCTATTCTTGCTAAGAATCAGAAACTATAATTCACAAAAGCTTCTGAGATAACACATTTGTCAGTCTCTAAGATACCATAAAACTCTCTGTGGTCTTAATGATCTTCAAGTGGCATTTCAAATTCAAGAAAAGACTTTCAGCTCTTACCTGTATGTCAGGTCTTTCTTTCCCCATTTAGGTGAACCAGGAAAAGTGTTGTATTCCCCTATATCGACAATGCCACACCTGGGTCTCTTCATAGCATCCAAAGTGTTTGTATCTAATTTGCCAGTCACTTTCAGCTTCAAGAATTCCTGCATCTGCCGTATTTTTTCTGGAGTAATGCCATTCTTGACTTTGGTTTTTATCACAAGTGTTGATTCTGATTCAGGATAATAATGTTGTATGTATTTCTGAAATAGAATTAAAGTGCTTAGAGGTTTTTCCCCTTATATGCAGTTTTCATGCTTTAAAATGACTCTTCCAGTCTTAGCCTTTGTTCTAAGCAATCAGGACATTTATCAACTGCAAATTTCCCCAATCTGTTACCCTCAAATGACTTGGAGGACAACTCATAATGGTTAGACAGCATAACCACCAAACAAGAAACATTACTCTATCCAACTTAGACAGCAAGCTACAGAGAAGCCAGTCAAAATATAGATGCTCTAAGCTTATAACTACACATAGGTATAGAATATGTGGTCCTCCAGATGTTGCTGAATTAAAATTCCCAACATTTCTCACCCTTAGTTATAGAGGTTTCAGCTACTGAGAGATATAACTGAGCAACATCTGGAGGACCAGAGATTCCCCATCCTTGATTTATGAACTACCATCAACATTACCTCAGCAAGTTCCATGTCCTTTTTCGAAATTTGCTCAGTTTCTTGGACGATGGGCAAAGACCAAGCAAGTGTTGCAAACAGTGCAACTGTCAGTAGCAAATTCATTTTCATGTTCACGTCTGTGTTCCAAATGTGAAGTCCCAGAACTTTTCAGCCTCTGGAAGTAGATCTGTGCATGTGGCTTAAGTTTTCCTCTATATATACTTCATGTCTGCTCCATAAAATCAACAAAAAAAATGACTCACAGAATTAGAACATTTGTTGATTTGTCAAAGGCAGAAAATGCTGCTCTTAGACTGACACACTATACTGACTGCACTAACCTTATTGTGCAATTACAAACAAAGGTAGCTGGGATTCATCAAATGGGATTTTTTCACCCAAGGGTTGAGGTTGTGCCCTTCATTGAAAGGTTGGGTAATAGTCATTCCTTCTAATCAAATAACTTTAAGTTATTTGCTTTTTACCATGATAGACGTTACCTTTTGATAAACATTTGGCCATCACGGTGATTTTTATTTAGTTTGTTTAAATTAATTGATACAATTGTTTGTAGCAATACCTGAATGAAACATTGGTATGTAAACATTTTTTTAAAAAAAGTAATAATGCAGGCTATGAAAATAGGGATAATTTTCAACAATATCTTTACTTTTAGAAGTGTTAGATGTTTTCATTAGGAGCCCAGTAGAAACTGTTGGAATGTTCTGTCATTTATCAGTATGAAAGCCTAATAAAAAGTCTACGATTAGTATAAAATGAAAATCCTGTTTCAGATCTTCAAAATCTATATTTCTTTTCACCAGAACAAACCACAAAATACCAAATGTCCTCAGTACATTAGCCGATCAGTCACAGTGTTTTACTATGAAATATCAGCCACTAGGAAAAAAAGGTTAAAGAAATATTATTTCTTGGTGATTTTTTGCATAACTGGAATCGCACTTTGTTGATTTCAATGGCAGCCAGTTAATTTAGAAAGCAAACATAATATGGTGGGGGGATTAAATGGCTGAACGTGTACTTCCTCCAAAGTACTACTGGCTTGCTTTCATGAAGCTGAGGGTGGTGAGGAAAAGATACAGGAGTTGATCCAGTTGATCCAGGACTGATCCTGACCCACCTTTGGAACGGCCAGCAAAAAGACCATTGAGGGATCTTCTAATTCTACAACATTTTCTATGGACATGCTGGCAGCACAACTGTCAGATCTGGAGCACCCTGGGCAAAATATCCTCTGGGGGTTCCCACGTGTATTCTTGGGTGCTCAGCCTTCATGTTTCTCTTTATCCCATTTTCCATACTGATGCTCCTTCTATCTTCTGCATTCTTCCTCTCTTCTCTCTGGTCCCACTTATCCGATGGCAGTCCTTCATGAATAATAGAATAGATGTCCACATAGGTCTTTCCTGGCTCAGTACATGTATCTAAATTAAAGCATCCCTGAAGGATGATTATGCTTGAACACATCCAGTAAATGGGACTATTCTCTTTTTGTCTCTAATTAGTTCTACTGTCAAGCCATTCTTACTGTAAGAAGTTTTTCCTAACATTCAAATGGAATCTGCCTTCCTGTCATTTAAGACCATTATTCATTCTCCTGGACTTTGATGGCAAGGACTGGGGGCTCATACAGCACCCATTCTGTTGGTACTCTGAACACCATACAGTAGGTTATTCAACAGGCACATGAGTTCTGGCAGTTCCACAGTAAAACTATAATTACTAACCAAACCATAAAATATATGTAACAATATCTGCAATATTTGGTGTAATGATGAGCAAAGCAATAATGAGCAGTTGACAATCTCGGTAGAAAGTGGCACAAAAAGTAATTGACACTGTTGGCAACCAAATAAGAAGCAGTTGATAGACTATTGATATTTAGACTATTGGATTATTAAATTAATTGAGAGACAGTCAAAGAAGGAGTTCAGAGAATGACAGAGGAATGGTGGAGGTTTCACAAATGGATTCACTTCATACAGCTGTAAAGGACCTCTCTGGGAGGCAAGTGGAGAAAGGGGCCATTGTTGTACCAGTGTTGTATAATACAACTAGAGAGACTAAACTTCAAGTTTCATGGGTACCTTTGGGTCAGTCATTTTCAGCCCACCTACCTTTAAAATTGGAGGTGGATGTGCTATGTATACTTCCCTGAGCACCTAAAGGAAAGGTGGGATTTAAAACTAATATAAATATGATCAGGGACTTCTGGGGAAGAAATGGTGAATTGAAGACAGCTCCACAAAAAGTGGAGCCAACAACTGCAGCAGAATAAAGAGTTGGCAAGTAGACCAGGTCTTTGTAATTCCTCTCTGAACAAGGAGAGGACTTCAGATCACCCATAAGTGCTCCAGGCAGTTGCTCCTCACAAGTCAGATCATCCACAAGTCAGCAGTCTCCAGTGGGTTTAGAGCTTTGGGAGACAAGGGAATAGCCATCTTGCTGAAACCACAATTGGTGCTGTTAAAAGAACACTAGGTTCTCATACTTCCTTTTTTAATCACTTTTGGTAATTACTTGTTAACTACTTGTTAACTATTTTTAACCTTTGGACTGACAAGTCTGAAAATGCCAGGTGAGTTTCCTTCAATCCTTAGCAAAAGGAGTTTTAAATACAAGTTTAAGGAACAAACTTTTTTTATTGGAATAAACAGAAAAAGGGTGATTAAAACTTTGATTTTAGAAAAGGTGCACACAGACTAAGGGTCCAGATAAATTTGAAATAAGATATTGGAATTTATTATAAAGAATCCTTCCCATGGGAAAATGCTTTTGTTTTGAATCCTTGTTTTGAATTCTTTAAAATTCTTCTATATATGACTTTAAAAATTGGACATTAGAGGGAACAAGAAGGAAGTAAATATTACAATTAAAGGAGAAGAACACTTAAATTTGACTTACTAATACAGAATGAAGCAAAATACTTTAACAT